AGCATTGGCCTGCTAAACCCAGCGTTGTGAGTTCAATCCTTGAGGGGGCCACTTAGGGATCTGGGGCAAAAATCTGCCTGAGGATTGGTCCGGCTCTGAGCAGGGGGTTGGACTAGATGACCTCCTGAGGTCCCTTCCAACCCTGATGATATGTCTCCCGTTCTAGAAATCAAGAATGATTGTTACTAGTAACCCAGCTGACTACCCCACCTGAGCTTTTTCAGCACACCAGAACATAGGCTCAGCAATTAGAAAGCAAAAAAAGGAAGGGTTTCAAAGGGCTTGTCAGCTATTGGTGAAACACGCTTTCTATATAGGGAGCTAACTATTCAACTTCCTCTTGTCCAAGCTAAGGCCCCTATGTGCGAAATTGGTGCAGATGTATGTATGCCCCCTCGTTTCACCTGCCCAGCTATCTGAGTGTCCCCTCTGTATGACTGACTCGACGTGGGCATGCCATGACTGCCCCATTTATCTGTAGGAAGTGTCAATGGTAGGTGTCTTCGCTTGGTATGGGAGAGCGCTGACTCAGCCAAGACAGCTGGCAAGCATTTTTTCAAAAAGGAAAGACAACACAGTTCAGACGATGGTTCTGCTAATTAGGACTGTCCTTTGCACTCTGCTTAAGCTGCTCATTGACTTCCTAAATGTGATCACCAGCGCACTGGAAACAAGCCAGCTTGCACTCCCCATCCTGGGCTGCTCTAGGGCTAGAGAGGCCCTCAGCATAATTTAGACAACCCTGGGGACCTGTCTAAGTTACAGCAGCCTCCCTGGCCTGCCCTGTGGGCCACAATGCTGCCTGGAATCTCCACAGCACTATGTGCTGCAGCCCCATCCCAGACACACCTCTTCCACCTCCAGCCTCACCCCGGCACTGCCAATATACCAGGACTTGCAAGGCGGTTCTCGGACAGCAGCCGTAGGCTGTTTTCCACAGTATCTGCACCAGGGGAACCCTCCCTGGCAGGAACCAGGGGTTTCATGCCGGGGCTGGAGAAGAAGTGAGGATCTCACCCATGACTTCCCATCTTCTGCTCTAACCCCAGACAACTTTCCTTTCCTCAGCTAAATCAGCAAAAATAAACATAAAAAATAAGGATGAGAAATAATAGTGAGTCATTGTTTTATCTTGCCTCAAACAGGAGATTTAAAGCATCTTCCTCGTGGCTGGCTGGATGCATAGATAAGCCCTTCACAAAGACACCCTGTGGGTACTCCACGACAGCCATGTGAGTGTCACCGGACATGTCATGAGGCATAGTGGAGAGAAGGTCGAAGAGAGTCTCGTTGTAGATTTCCAGGTAGGATATTCGGACAGTGATGGACTGATCGATGTGTTCTTCAACTGCCCTGAACACCTGCACAGATCATATGCTTGTCAATGACAGTCTGAGTTCACAAACAAGGTTCCTATCAATTTGTGGCTTTTCAGGATGTGAATCACTATAAATCAGTCAGTCAGTATATGGCACACTCTCAGCAGGACTGCAGCGGCTCTAATAACATTTTCAAAATTATTCTGGTTTTGAAAATATTATACCTTTAAAGGGACACTGTCAAGGGTAGGAAGCCTAAAACAAGAGTTTTCTGTGATTTCTCTAAACAGTAAAGAACATTCCATTTGCTGGCTGAATTGCTTTTTTCTAATTGCATGAACAGCACTTACACTAACACCAAGGAATATAACTAGTAAGAAATTACTCGGGCGGGAGTTAAGGACAATATAACAATGAGCTAATGAGATCAGCTCCATGATGCAGGAATTAGTTCTTTTTTATGCTCGGAAAACACCTAACCCAGTAGCTACTGGAAACAAATAATAAAACGTTCTGTTGCAAAACACCTTCCAGCTTTGGTTTGTGTAGGTTATGTCAGCCCTTCACTCTGCTTTTCAGCTGTGCTTCTGTGAGCAGGCACACAAGAATCTTCACCCAACAGAGTGCCCTTTTGAGAGGTTAAGAAAGTTGCACATCATGACATCATGTTTATGTTGCAACAGGATGACATGTCCGCCTGTCGCAATGCAACATCATCCCACTGCATTGAAATGTCACCTCTCTCACGGCACAAGGTCCCAGGGTTACAATGAAAAATCACAATGGAACATCACGATGCAACATAATGTTTTATTGTCCCACAACTTCTTTAAGGACCATATAATATCCATCTCCTGTTAAAATGATTGGTGGTGACCTTGTAGCCCATGTTTGGGGGGGTCAACACATTTCTCAGGTCTGGGAGGACAACAGATGATATGACAGATGTGCTAGTTTCTCCTTCTTCCCCTCCTTTCTAATTCAAAACTTCAGTACCTGCTGTATAGCTCGGGGTATGATTCCTCTATGCTTGTAGTTTTCGGTTGCTCCTGTCATGGTGTATGTTTTACCAGCTCCTGTTTGCCCATAGCACATTATAGTGCCTAGAAAAGTTTTAAAACAAAAGAATAAATTCAGTAGAACTCATTCATTTCTCCAATGTAACATCAAAGGGATCTTATCCTCAGATGGGCAGCCCCACTATTTCTTAAAATAACACAAATATCAATTAAAAACTTACCATTATAGCCATCCAGAGCTTGGGATACCAAGTCCCTAGCTACTGCATCATAAACCGAATCCTGGGAGGCATTGTGAAGAACACCATCCAGTTTAAAGGACCAATCAGTCTGCTTGTTATTGACGACTCCTTTCTTAACATCCCTCCTGATGTAAATATCTATGCTCTAAAAAGACAGAGATGAAGACTGTTGATGTGCTACAAGGGATATTGGGCCAAATTCATCCCTGGTGTAACTGCAGCAGGGTTAGTCCTCATTTCTGCTACCATAACTTAAATCAGAGTCTAGATCCATTATGCGCCTTATGTCTCTTGTTCCTTTACCTTATTGTCTGGCCCATACTTGATCATGTCTTGAGGAAAATTAGCTGTTGGCTTGACTCGCACAAATGCATGTACTTTACTTTCTTTTGCACTCATTGTAACTAAAAGAAGGGGGAAAAGGGAAAATCAGGTTTACAAGAAAATACTGCGTTCCCTAAAATACAGTTTAAAGGCTGTAATCAGCAAAAGGTAGGCTGCAGTGTCATCAATTTTTAAAATAAACTGTTTACAAATGTTAAGCTGTAGTTTCTAACTATGGTTTATTAAGAGGAACTATAGGCTCATAACTAGCCTAAGCAGGGAAATTTTTAAAGTCAGAAAAGTGAACATGTAAAAATAGAACATGCAAAAACCTTCTTAGTCATTACAATTTCTTCTTGTGCATCTGAATCCTAGCTATTTACTGACACGAACAAGCTTCTCTTCCTGCTAGTCCTGCAGAACAAAACAGCTACAGGAGAATGAAATGGATTCTATTCTGCCTCATGCATCATCAGGGCAACTCTCAGCTAACGGCCGGATTCTGCTCGCTGATACAAAACCATTGACATTGATGCAGTTACGCCATCTTTACAGTGGTGTACCTGAGTGCAGAATTTGGCCCTAGGTTCTGTCAGCAAACTTTTGATCACTGTGAATTGAGAGGCAGGGAGAGCCCAGCTTGATTTTCAGATCCCAGCGTGAATAAGTGATGCTGACAGCTGGAAAAATAATCTTTTCAGCTGTAAACAGAGCACTGGAAGTCACTGAGAGAGTATAAACGCAAAGACCGAGCCATGTAATTCTTACAGGAACAGGAGGATGTGTTAAAAGCGCAGTGCTACAGCAGCAACAATTTAGCCACAAACTTTTAATGAAAATGTTTTACATCAGACATAGGATTTGGTGATCCATGGACAAAAGCTGCTATGTTATTTATTCATTATTAATTATTATTATTATTTCACTATGACACCCAGATTCTCTGATTATGATTATGGCCACTTTGTGCTAAGCACTATACAGACAGAGAGATGAATGTGGTCCTTCCCCAAACAGCTTGCAATCTGAGAGTTGCCTTAACTTGTGCAACTAGTATGGGCACTGTGGGCCTTGAGCAAAAGGGAATAATTCAGAATAACTAGGAATGCTCTGGCCACACCTCCTCCTGCCCGGCCCTACCTATTCATGGACCACTCCAGAACACCCCCCTTTGTAGGGGCTTTGCACCTCCCAAGGGCATTGATAGCATAAAGTGGCCATTACACAGGGGTGAATGCTACTCCCCTGGGGTGTTGTATGTTAGCATATCAGCTTTCTAGGGTGATCATTTGTGTATTGTTCACCTAAGATCAAATGACCTAAGACAGGGTTACAACATTACCAATACCATGTAGCACAAGGCTCTGCATTCCTTACACTGCTTTAGGTGGTTTATTATCCATCTGATTCATTTTTTAAATTAATAATAAAATATAGACATTTCTTTGTCTCATGATCACTGAAAAGCACCTTTCATGTGAGGCTCTCAAAGCACTTTACAAACAATCTGAATGGCTCAAGAAACACAACCCAGGGCATGGATGTGTATTCATTTCATACAAGGGGGATTTCTCTTTAATTGTACCTAATGATTCCCTTGTCATTTTCCTTGGCTCTTTGGTTTTGCACGATTCTGACACCCTGGTTCTCTCTCCCTAGAGTTCAGTAATGGTTGGATGCAAATGCTTTTGGTGTGCACTCCTAAAATAGAGGACATCTGGAAGGTCAAATTCTAGTTTCAATTAACCGTCTCTTAATGCACCAAATGACAATATTCTTTTCATTCAGATTCCTCCTTAAAACTAAACAAGGCCCAAACCTGGCACCCTGAACCCAAATCCAATAGGATTTTCTGGAATGGGGATCGGATCCAACGCACCGCTACAACCGTGTGTTTTCTGGCTCTGGTTTAAACATGGCAGAAATATCATGAAAAAAGTTATTTTTGTCAAATTTTAGCCCAAGACATTGAAAATCTCACACGAACAGCTGATTTTCAAGAATTTAAAATGACCCAATCCAAACCCAAACTCCTAGCATAATCTGGATCCAAACACCTCCCGATTTCCTTCTTTATCAACACTCCAGCATAGAGGATTATTAAAACCTTTACATTGCATTGACATATGACCATTGTCTGGTGGTACGTCAGGCACTGTGTCTAATTCATACTGTTAATCTTATTTAGGATACAATCCTGTGAGCCCGAGATGCACAAAACTCCCACAGGACTCAATGACAGTTTCACCAACTAAGGACTTGCAGGATTAGACCCTTAGATTGGAAAATTCTCACCATCTCATCAGACTCATGATACTCACCAACTAATACAGATAATGGCTTGTGGGGACACCTGGAGGAGATGAAACAGATACACATGAACATGCACTTTCTATGTTATTACTTTAAAATGTATTTAGTGCTAGTGAACGACTGATGGTCCCTGAGAGCGAAGTTCTTTCTTTATCCAAAGAACAGGTACAGTTCACGTAGTGGTACTGTAATCTTTCACAGTATCACAGCAATAGGCTTCTACCTTGACAAGAAGATTGTGAGGATAGGTGCACTGTTTCTTTACAGCCATAGCAAGAAGCCAGACAGGAAGAGGGAGCTGGAGAAGGCTCTAAGCAGAAGCTCTAAGGTGAAGCACAGAGAGGGAGAGAATAGCCTTGGGGTTAATGTAATTTTTCTTATTCTAATAAAATTCCTCGTTCAGTGTTAGAAGAAAGTGGCTCCTGTGACTCTTTACCATTGACAGAAGGTTCACAGCTATGGATAAGAAAGGGAGTTCAATCTCCACAGCCCATTCAGTCCTTGCAAGGCCTTTCTGCTGTGACTGCAACAAGGATGCCAATTAGTGTCACTTGTGATGGTTGTTTTTGTCACATGGGCACCTATCCACTGATTGAGATCCACCAAAGTCATTCCACACAGGCCACCAAATAGCCTTTCAACTTTGTCAGCAGACAGGCTTTTAACCAGTGACCTAGAAGTACAAGGCCCCATAGACCATTACCAATCTCCCAAGCCATGTAGTCAACCAGGTTTTTTAAATGCCTGGGACATGGTTACAGAGCCAACAGTGACACAGGGCTGTGGGATTAGAGATGGCATGAGGATCGTTGGGATGTGGGTACAGAAATGGAGGTGATGCAGGGGTGAGAACATGGGATGCAGGAGCCGTGGCAATGTGAGCTCAGGGGCAGCTGGGACATTGGGGATGGAGGCAGAGATGATACAGGGATGAGGATGGTGGTGACATGGGAGCAATGGCAATAGGAGATAGGAGATGGCTGGGACACGGGGAAGAGGACGGTGTGATCCAGCAAGTGAGGTTGGAAGAGGTGATGATGAGGGGTTGGTTGGGATGTGTCGATGATGGTGGTGGTCATGCAGGGACAGCGAGATGCATAGACAGTGGCAACACAGGGATGGCTGGGATGAGGGGAAAAAAACAGTGGCAATACAGGGATGGGTGGGAAGCGGGGATGGTGGTGGTGATAGGGAGATGATTGGGATGTGGAGACGAAGATGGGGACACTGGGAAAGTGGAGGCAGTAATTGTTATGGCTGAGAGATGGGGGTAGCTGAGAGGTGGGGACGAGATGGCTGGGAGATGGGGATAGTCACAGGGAGATGAGGATGTCTGAGAGATGGGGTTGGTGACATGGGGACAGAGATGGCTGGGGAGGGGATGGGGACAGTGACAGGGAGGTGGGGATGAGGACAGGGAGACAGGGATGGAGACAGGAGATGAGGACAGGGAGACAGGGTGGAGACAGGAGGATGGGGATGCTGGAAGGTGGGGACAGGAATGGGGACAATAACAGGGATGGGATGGCTGGGAGGTGGGGATGAAGCTGGGGTTGGGCACAGAGGGATGGAACAGCTGGTGAGGATGGGGACAGTAACAGGGATGTGGGTGGCTAGGAGGTGGGGATGGGGTTGGTGACGGGGATGACTAAGGAGTGGGGATGGGCTGGGGATGATAACAGAGGGATGGAGATGGCTGGGAGGTAGGGGTGAGGCTGGGGGAGGGGACAGAGGGATAGAACAGCTGGTGGGGATGGGGTCGGTGACGGGGAATGGGGATGCCTGGGCAATAGGGACGGGGGGCAAAGATGCTGAGGGTAGGGATGAGGATGGAGACAGGGGACGGGGGATGGAGACCA